GGGGGGGGGTTTAATTTGGCCAGGGGTATTTTGGAGGGTATTAGTCCATGAAATGCACATAAACATGGACAATAATCACCTTCATCAAAAACCTTTTATTTATTCTAACATTTTTCAGGCTTTTTGATACCTTTTGGAACTAATGGCAGCAGTGGAAAAACTTTATTCAAGTATTTCATGACATAGAGACAAGCCAAAATGTTGGTGAAACAATATAATTATTTACTGCTATAAATATTGTCTGATTTAAATATAATTACAGTATGCATTCAGGAACAAAATATATAACTTCTGAAGTAAATATAATTTGTATTACAAAATCAAATTTATATCATTTGAAATAGATTACATTTCTGAAAAAAATGCCATTCCTGTAAAAAACATGCTGGAAACAAATATGACAATAAATATTCCAAATACAATAATATGAGATTTGAGCAAGTATTCTAGGTACAGCCAAACATATACAGTCGTTCACTGTTCCTTGACGCCCCTCAGAACCTCTAGCATTCCCCCAAGTACCTTCATTTTTTCTTTGTGGAATGCCTCGAACTTCTCCATTTTCTTTTCGTCTTCGTTCTTCTTTTCTTCTCTGTATTCCTGAAGCCATTGTAAGTATTCATTTCTTGACTTAACTCCCTTTTCTTTCTTCGAGAGCCTTTTCTTCTTCTGCAACCAATCTTGACTTGTAACAGGTCTTTTCAACACAACTGTCACCTCTTCATTCCTGTCTTCCCCTTCCGTTTCCTCTAGCTTTTCTTCTTGTGACTTGGTCTGAGGGCGCACGTAATCCGCCTTCCCAGAGCTGCTGCTTGTTGCATACGGACGAACATTAGGCCTGTAACCATAGAGCTCTGCAATTTCCCTGTAAAATGGGCATTCTTTTCGGTCATTTCCCGAAATACTGTTGTGGTCACAACACTTGCGAAAAGCGAGTGTCAGTGATTTCCACTTTCCCTCAACCTGCTCAGGTCGTGCGCTGAAGTTTGGATTTTCTGCCGCCGTACTCGCTGTAATTAGCTCCCAAACGCTTTTCTTCTTACAATTTAGATTTCTGAAAAGCTTCTCATGCTCCCTGTATTGGGAAATTAACATCAGAGGGTCCTCTCTGCTCCACCAGAAGCCTTTCCTTCTCTCGACAGCCTCGACAGATCGCCTCAACACTTTCACCTAAACACGACGCCATCTTTGTTTACAGCTGAAACAATGACGTCATTATTCTAGCTCTTCCGGCTATTCTGCCCTTAGGAACAGAATAACCGGAATGGAAATCCAGGGATTCCGGAATGAGAATAGCTACCAAACAAACGCTTACTCGCTTTATTCCAGTTATTCTTATTCCGGATTGATCCCAAACGAACGCGCCCTTATAAGGTGATTCCTCAGAATTGCATTGCGCATCCCCACTGCGCACGATTTTTGCGTCATTAGGGCGCGCTCATGAGCGCGTGCATATACCACAACATATACAAAATGGTGGCTTTTTCTAAACTGCTTGGCTTGC